AGCAAGCCAGTCTTCCCACGGAAACACAATGGCCCATTTTAAACGGGCTCCCTTTGAGGCAGGGCCTTGTCCCCAGAGCTCCTGAGACCCTCTGCCACACCAGCTCTTTGCTGCCCTGCAGGTCCCTGGCCACTGACCGGAGGGAGGCTGATGCGGTTGCCGTCCTTGAGCTTCAGCCGGCTCTTCCTGAACTTGCCTTGCGTTTCTTCACCCGGGCTTCTCCTGGCACAGCTGGTGGATGATGATGTTGACTCCCGTTCCAGAATGTCGATCTCCCGCTCGGCCAGCTCCTGTTCCCGACGCCGCAACAGTTCCTCCTGGTTCTTCTGCTGCAGGCGGCCCGAGTCAGCTCTCCTCCCAGGTGCGAAGCTCCTGCAGGAGGGCAGAACGGTCAGAGAGAAGAGTGGGCACTCGGTGCAGAGGCCCCTGGGGGAGGCCTGAGAATGCCCAGAGGGTTCATGGCAGCCTAGAGAACTCTCCTGTGATGCTCGTGGAGACCCGGCTCACTAGTCAGCTGGCAAAGGAACACCTGACACCTTGGATGGCGGGACAGGTGGCTGGGAACAGCCATCGTGAGGACACAGCCAGAGAAGCCAAAGCCATGGGCCAAGCCCCAGACATGAAGGCTGGGGTGTCCAGTTGCTCCTTCATTCTTGATTAAAACTGCCTGTGGTTGAAAAAAGAATCAGAATTTGAATAGAAATATAATAATGCATTTGAATTTGACAGACTTGATTCTATTTTAATTTTTTCTATTACAAAAAAAGATTTTTTAAAACTAGAGCTCACTTAGAGTTGTCTAGCTTAAAATGTATCCACTGTAAATGAAGCATCCTCCAGGCATCACCTAACATTCAAAAAAAATAAAATATATTTTGGCCGGGCGCAGTGGCTCAGCCTGTAATCCCAGCACTCTGGGAGCCCGAGGCAGGTATATTGCTCAAGTCAGGAGTTTGAAACCAGCCTGAGCAAGAACGAGACCCTGTCTCTACTATAAACAGAAAGAAATTAATTGGCCAACTAAAAATAAATATATGTAAATAATATATTTATATTTTAGATATCTAAAATATTTTAGATTTTAGAATTTATATATTAAATATAAAATTTATATATATATATATAAAATTAGCTGGGCATGGTGGCGCATGCCTGTGTCCCAGCGTACCTGCGGGAGGCTGAGGCAGAAGGATTCCTCGAGCCCAGGAGTTTGAGGTTGCTGTGAGCTAGGCTGACGCCACGGCACCCTAGCCTGGGCAACAGAGTGAGACTCTGTCAAAAAAATAATAATTATAAATATAAATATATTTCCAAGGTGGCTGTTGAAAAGGTAGGTGAGACATGTCCTCCACATCTTTGTGTTCACTTGGAGAATGAGTCCACTGAGGGGTGTGGTTTCAACTCTCCCCTTACTTTACAGGACAGCAATTTGCTACGGAAGGATCACGAAAGCACAGCAAGGAGAAGAGAAAACGTTTCCTGAGGTCTCTGCCAGGTGCTCACTCTAGAAGCAAACTCGCCCACTGTTCTATCACACACCCCTGAAACTAACCGTTCAGTGGGCACAGAAGAGTCACCCAGCACAGGCTGTGCCTCTCAGCACCTCAAGGACAAGGACAGCCAGTCTCACTGCTAAGGGGAGAGTTGGAGCCAGAAATCGGGAGGCAGAACCGGGACAAAGTTCCATCTGGAATCCTTTCTTGGGACCCAAAAACAGTCCCTTTTGTCCTCCTCTGAGAACAGAGGTAGGAGCCACATCAGGTGGGCAAAACCTCTTCCTTGCCTCCCCCTTTTATTCTGCATGACTTTATAAGTGAGCCCAGGATTAAGTTCCTGGGAGGAGGGTGGGGAACAGAAAATCAGGACGTAAGACAGAAAACAGAAATGAAAACAAAGCCCGTGTATAACATTTTAGAATCTAGTATCTAAACTGTTAACACTGGTTACCCTGGGCCTGGGATTTAAGTGGGGTGGTTGGGAGTGGAAAGACTAAAATTTAGCAAGTCTCAATGTCAATAATCTGAGAGAACCATGTCCAAAAAGTATGCCATTTCTTCAATAAATCAGCCATAGCAACAAAACTGTGGTCTGTGGTCAAAACTTGATTTCTCAATGAAACACACCACTGTAAGAAGCCATTCTGAACTAAAACAAAATAGGCAAACCTATTTGGGGAACCTAGAGCTAGAAAAAAAGTATGTGAGCATATAATGGAGAAGTGAGAAGCAGGTAGAGAACAGAACAGAGGACAGAGACAAGATACAAATAAAATATTCTGATGTTATAAACTTGTCATTCAACTTGTGTTCCACCTCCCAAGATATATCAAAGGAGCCATAAAAATGATAGAAAGGATCAGAATACCAGGGGTCAAAAGAAAAAAAAAATGATAGAGAGAAAAGACAAGAGAAGTAGCACATTGAAAAGTGTCTGGTGCAGGGTAGATGCTCAGTGGTTGAGTAACTATGGAGTCAATAAATAAATGAGAAATAATAAGGAAACAAAGGACAATTTTACAAATTCGTCCTTCTTTACTGGAATCTAGATTCACCCTAAGTTCCTGAGAGCTGAACTTGAACTTTTGAACTTCTGCTTCTCTGATGAAATCAGCCTCAAACTGACTGTTGTGCACCCTCCAATCTTTGGTTCCCCTGCCTCACTACCAGGAGAACAAATAACATGAGAGATGCAGGAAAATTATTCCTGCTGGGTTGATTTTGCTGTTAAAAGGAAATGTTTAAAAGTTCAAACTAATTTCAACCTTTTAAGTGCTCATCTCCTGCATGTTCTTGTCTAAGGGATGGTTTGGGTCTTAGCCCCTTCCTTTAAAGGAACTCAAATCCCAGACTAGAGACCAATCCATCTTCACAATACCTAGAAGCAGTAGTAGGTTGAGTCGACCTGAAGAATGAGCTGGATCGTATGGTAAATCAGGGTATTTGTGGAGTATACGCCTATGGCACCATACACCTGAAAGACCCTCACAACACACGGCTAATCCCTACTTGTGAAAAAGAGTCACTCCAGAAGGAAAACTCTTTATACATCTTACTTTCATTTACCAAATGATAAGCCTTATCACAGAGAGGCTTCATGGCATGGTGGTTAGCAGCAAGGACTCTGGAACAAGGTGCCTGCAATTCAGGTCCCAGCTTCACTGTCATTAACTGTGTGGCCTTGGGCAAGTTAATGTGGGCACCACATGTAATAGAGAATTAATAGCACTGTCACCATAGACATAAGACGATGATTATCTTATTACACAAAACAATTCATATAAATTATAAGAAAGCACGGCACGTAGTGCATGCTCTGCAGATATTAGCTATTATGAGCATGGGTTTGACGTTTCCTAGTAACTACTTACTGACAAACTCCCACTTTCATTTTTCTTAATGGCTGGTACCCTTATAATTTCATCAATCCAAAGAAGGGTAACAAAGAGTCTGTGATTCAGCAATCAAAAAAAAAAGACCCCAAAGGCCAGCAACTCTGCAGGTTCTTCTAGCCAGAATGGGAACAGGTTCCTATAATGATTATTCAATAGTCAGTGCAGGTCCACCCACCAGGTCTGAAGATTCGTCAGAAGCTCACTCCATTCTTCCACAGAATGCTCACGGACCTGACAGTAGCACTGGGTTTAGCACTGTGCTGTGATCCATACAAAGAGTTTAATCTCTTCAAATCAGCTCCAGAAATTATTTTTAAGCAACATGTATAGGGGAACAACAATGATATTACAAAGAATGCAGGTTTGGGAATCAGAAGGTCCAGGTTGGTGGTTCTGCTTCCCCACTTACCAGCTCTGTGAGTTAGGCACATCACTGACCCTCAGCTCTGAGATGGAAATGGTAACTCAGGGGCCCTAGGACCCCTGGACAAAACAGATAAAAAGATCTCATCAAACCTTTCCAGTGAAAAAACTGGGAAACCTAAAGTCATACACACTTTTGACTACTATTATAGTCATATTGCTATTATCTTCCCAAATTCCCATAGCGCAGAGTGAGAAAAGAAAAAGAAATGAACAAAGTCTATATGAAGGTGCCTTTTGCCTGAGCTTTATCCCTTAGATTCAGTCCTGCCACTACAGTATAAGCAACATAACTGCTTGTAACTGGCTTCCCCTGTGTGCACACTGACCGCCGGTGACACGCCAAGGGAGCAAAGAAGGGCCATTTAGGGAATGGCCACAGAAACAAAAGGGCAGATCTCTAGTAGGCTAGAGATCTGAACTCCCTGGTTGGTAGGTGCTTGGAATACTTTTCATAAAAACACGAAAAATGCCACACACTTTCAGACCCTATCCATGGCCCATATTCTGTTTCCAATTTTGATGTCAAAAGACATCAGAAGGACCGGGTGGAGTGGCTCACGTCTGTAATCCTAGTATTCTGGGAGGCCAAGGCAGGTGGATCATTTGAGCTCAGGAGTTTGAGACCACCCTGAGCAAGACTGATACCCCGTCTCTACTAAAAATAGAAAGAAATTAGCTGGACAACTAAAATATATATATAATTAGCCAGGCATGGTGGCACATGCCTATTAGTCCCAGCTACTCGGGAAGCTGAGGTGGGAGGATTGCTTGAACCCAGGAGTTTGAGGTTGCTGTGAGCTAGGCTGATGCCATGGGACTCTGTCTCAAAAAAAAAAAAAAAAAAAAAAAACCACAAAAGACACTGGTAGGATGTTCTGATGACTGTTCTCAATGTTGAAATATCCTATATCAAGTTAACCTTCCTCTGTAAGTCCGCCGTACAATCAAGAAACCTTTCCAGAGCCCTGTCCCATTTTCAGCTGGCAGAGTGAGACACCCAGCGGGTAACTGCCCAATTGTGCACTTTTCTGGTTTGGACAACAAAGCGGATACCAAGCAGGAGGGTGGTGGTGTCAGAATCAGAGTGGGCAGTCAGACTCAGTCCAGAGACCCCAGGGGAGAGGTCCATGAATTCAACACATGACATTTTTCTGTTTTTATTTTTTAATTTTTTTAATTTTACCTTTTCTTTGGCCCTGAGTTGGTCAAACATCTCCTGAATCTCATGTTTCCAGTCATCCTGCAGGCAGTGGAAGGAGTCCTTGGGCATTTCAAAGAAGCCAGACTCCTCTATGGTAGTGAGCTGGTCCAGGATATTGGTGAACGACGGTCGTGAGTGGGGGTCGGGATTCCAGCAGTCTGCAGGGGCGCGTGAGGAAACAGAAACCATGAACAGACAGAGGCCAACGCAAGACCGAAGATGTGACGTGACCTCATTTACCAGAAAACTACCTCTCGTTTCTCCTTCCAGAAACAGAGGTTGGAATTTACGAAACCCCAAATGGGGCTCGGGAAGTTAAACAAGCTGTCCGTCATAACATCTGTAAAGGATGAAACTGGAAATAAAGTGCAGCAGGTCTGCACTTGTCCCATTCTGTTAAATAAGTATTTTTTAAAAAGCAAGCCCAAAGAATTTGCTCGAATAAAGTACTACTACCACAATTTACCATGTTACCATATGATTCAAGTCCTAACAATGGTTAACTACACCCTGGGGCTCAATTTCCCATAAATAAAGGAGCTACTCTCCCCCCACCCCAATGGAGTGAGGAGAAGGCAAGGTTAAAAAGCATCAGGGTGGGAGTCAGGCAAAGTGAATTCTACCTAATCCCAGATCAGCCGCTGCCCAGTATGACAGCCACTCGACCTGGCCACTTGACCTCCCTCAGCTCTGGATTTCTCACTTACAAAATTATGGGGTAGGACTAGATGACTTAAGAGTTCCTATCTTCTTAGATGTTCTTCATTTCTGTATGTAAGACACTCAGAGGTCCTGAAATAAAAGCTGCTATACCTTCTTATTTCATGTTAAGTAACAACAGCTGAAGCACTGGCTTTAGATACTAAGTCAACTGCACAGTCCCCGGAGATGGAGGGCAGAGACCTGCGACAGAAGGATGCTGACATCATCTTTTTTTTTTTATTTTTTTTAATTTTTTTTTTCTTTTATTTTTTTTGGGAAGAAATCAGCGAAGGAACTGACATCATCTTGAAGTAGCTCTTCCAGCTGCCCACAGGATGCCTCCTTGGGTGACTAATACTTTATCTCCTCTTTTAGTAACTGATCTTACAGAATTGGCCAAAATCTACCAAGTGCTTATAAGAAGGTAAATTGTCTCCAATTTTGTTCAGGCCAGGGGATGACTTACCTTCCATGAGTTTGGCAAAAGGTTCTGGGCACGTAGAAGGAATAGGAAGGGCGAGTTTGTTCATGGCCACTCCATAAGCTACCGCTAAGCCATCGATGCCGCGGAAGGGCACCTCGCCAGTCAGCAGCTCCCAAAGCAGCACCCCGTAGCTAGGGAGAGGAACGAGACAGAAGCCATATAATAAACCGCAGGTATAACTCCACTGAAATAGCTCACAAGGCTTTCCTGAGCATGCCACATTCTCCCCAACACACAGAGAAACTCAAGAAATAGAAGTACTAATGCAATACAAAAGGGAAGCCATAAAGCCTACTTGCTAAAAGCAAAAAAAGCCAAGCATGCTTGGTTTCAAAGTCTTGTTCCATAACTCCCCAGCTATGTGACCTTGTGCAAGTTCCTACATCTCTCTAAGGCTCTAATTCCTCGTCTGTAAAGTACAAATAGCATTACCAGTCTCATGAGGCTGTCATGAAATTAAATGAGTTACTACAGAGTTTAAATAAGTGCTCCATGGCCACAGCTATTTTGTTACTGTTAATGAAATAAACTGGTAGAAGAGGCAGCCTCCCAAAGATAAATTCTTTTCCATTTTAAGAAAACTTCAGCTTTTGCCACAGATACTTTTTTCAGCTTTACAAAAGCAGAGAGCCTACCACTCAAAAACAGGTTTTGCTTCCCTACAAGATTTCTTTAAATGCCTGCTAGGTTGAATAGATTCCTGCCCCCGAAGCAGCGTGAGTGGGTCCTTAATGGAGACCTTTGTCTAATTCAAAGGGAAAAGTTTCATAAGGGCAGCCCGCATCGGTGGGGCAGAGCGGTGTGTCCGCTGGGAGAACTTCATCGTGCCCTCGTGCCCTCCTCACCTTTCATGTGCACATGAAGAATTTCTTTTCTCGCGTCCTGTGAGTCAGGCAAGGCAGAGTACAAAGCTTAGTGGAAGAATTATTCTACAAATTCACAGTTAGAACCAGACAAAAATCACTCAGCAGTCCTTCCAAGAATAAGTCAGAACAAGAAAATATAAGGCTATGAACAATCAGAAGAACGGTGCTCCGGAGGTTTTCAACATCTACCTCGAATTTATTGTGATATTCATCAATAGTTTGCAACCAGCAATAAAGGTCATATTAATTTTAAAAATAATAATAAAGCCCATACCATGTATCATGATACCTTGTACATGTAGAGTGCTCAGGTACCTTCCAAACATCACCTTGAATCCCTATAACAAGCCTGAGAGATAAGTACTATCACCATTTTGCAGCTGAGGAAAGTAACATTTAGATGGGTTTAGTAGCATAGGTTAAGGGCGTACACGGAGCATATCTTCATGGGCCCTGGACCAACAACTCTCAAGTCTTTCTCTCTAGAATGCCTTTCTACCATTTCTTGACTTGATAAACTCTAATCATCTTTTCAGATCCAACCCAAACGTCCCAGCATTTATTCATTCATTTTAAACATTGACTAAATATATACTCTGCATCAAGCTCAATGCCAGGCCCTGGGATCCAGGATAAAAGACGCAGATCTTACCCACAAAGAGAGGAGTGAGTAGGAGAGAAGAGAGGACCACCAGAACACCACAAGGGCACAAAGGAAGGCCACCTGTGCCAGACCAGGAAGGAAGCGGGAGACAGACCCTGGGCCAAACCGTGACTGCCGAGTGAAGGAGAGGGTCAGTGCTGCAAAGGCAGGGACCTGTGTGTGCAGAGACACGATGCAGAGTGTGTGCTGGCCCGCAGAGAATCTCAAGAGGTCTGGCTTGGCTCCCAAGAAAAGCAACGTGCCAATCGTGTCAGTGCATCAGAGGCTACCGAGGGACCTTCAGCGCAGCCTGACCAGTCTCAATGGATGATAGCTTTACGCTAGCAAGGCCTCCAAATACTGTCATCTTCTTTATGTGTCTTGACAGGAAAAAAGCCCAGTACAGAATTGCAGGTCTTGACTTGTCTAGACCAAGGAGCTGGATTTTAGTCAGAGGCTGAAGGGAACAACGCTGGACACAGTAGGAAGCCTTCCCTGACAGCCCCAGATGGTCCTCGGCCCTTCTGGGCTGCCATGTATCGCAGTTGTTTGTTTACCAGCCTGTGGGCTCCTAAAGAGCAGAGACAACAGTTTTTAATGTTTGCATCCTCAGGGCCCCACACAGGCTCTGGTACACAGTAGGCACTCATAGATGAGTGAGTGAGTTGGAGGGGAGGGCACGCGCGGTCAGATGGTCCTGCAAGCTGTCCAAGTAAACCTAGAACACCATCAAGAATTGCACTATTGCACTTCTTCACAAACCTTTAATGTGACTCATCTAGACATTGGTCATGCTGGGCAGCTGCTACCAAGTGACGTCTAAGAACCCTCAGCACAGCCGACCAGATTCCTGGGTCAAAGCCACCTTCTGCTCTTGGCATTAATGCCACCTCCATCCTGGAAAACAAACACCAAAGGTCCCGCAGAACCCTTTCTTCCAGTCAGGCAAAGACAACTGGTATCTGAGCCCTGACTACCCAGAAAGACAGTAGAGTGTTTCAAAGATCCCAGCGTGTCCTGTTTGTGTCCTTTCATCCCTTCTGTGCACTCTATGTCCTGTGGAGATGCCTCAGGCCACCTGGAAGAGGAAGGAGCCCGGGACCTACCCTTCTTAGCTTGGGTGAGGGCACCTCTGCTCTTACCTGGCTTGTTTCTTTGTTCATCTGCATTCTAGCCTGTTTCAAGGCTTCCATAGCTAAGAGAAATGTGAGAACGGCTGACCAAGGTAGGAAGAATGCTACCTAAGACAGATTTAGACAGACTTGAGTCAAATGCCTACTTCATCACTCACCAACTACGTGCTCTTGGGGAAGCAAGTTCATCTCCCTAAACCTTAGTTTCCTCGCCCATACGATAAAGACAGCCATACCTACCTCACAGAATAGCTACAAGGAATCAATAACACCAACAGCTACTCCTCATCCAGAAACTGCCACCTGTGTGCTTTCTCCTCAGAAAGGGCCTGAAATGAGAACATGTCTGAGAAGGGTTCCGCAGAGCCTACACCGTCTGGCGAGAGCCCTGCTGAGGGACACCAGCATTCAAAGCAGTGGCCTTTCTGGGGCTGACTAAACCAGTCGGTTTTCCTCTGCCAATGTCCCCCTTCATTTTTTACAATGGAAGGTGGGTGATGTAAACGAAGGCTTGGTATTCCGTTGGCAGGAATAGAGTCCAAGAAAGAAATTGGAGAAATATAAGTTACCCAAATCTGAGCCCTAGGAATAGGTGGGCAGTAGAAGGCAAAGTGACTTAATACCAGGTTTAGTCTACTTTGTCACCCACCCAGGATGAAAGGATCAAGAGGTCCCTTTAAGACCATTCACAAGCAGCCTGGAAGGGCCAGCTCAGCGAAACCACTGCCTCTGAGTCCTCCCCCAACACAGAACCACCAGCTCCCACAGAGCTGCCTAACCCAACCCGCAGAGAATTCACTCAGAGCTCTTTTTCTTATTAACCTGCAGCATCTCTCAGGCTGTCGAGCTCAGGACTCACGCTCTGAAAGGAGGGGCTCGGTCTCCCTTGACTGGGCTGGGCCGGGGAATCTCTTGCACTTGGTAAATTATCTGTGACCCTACATTCCAGGAACCACGCGGACTGCTTAATAATCTTTGGCAAAGATAATTGAGCTAATATATGTGAAAACACTTTGTAAATTGTAAAATAACATACACTTATCCTTCTGGTTGTTGCTAACTGGTCAGACATTCAAAATGAGGATATGTTTACTAACGTATATATGTAATATATACATTAACATAACCCTTGACATAACCATAACAACATATTCATTAATGTGGTAACATGTTCATGCTATCTTACATTCAAAAAGCAGCTTACAGGCCAGGCGTGGCGGCTCACGCCTGTAATCCTAGCACTCTGGGAGGCCAAGGCGGGCAGATTGCTCGAGGTCAGGAGTTCGAAACCAGCCTGAGCAAGAGCGAGACCCCGTCTCTACTATAGAATAGAAAAAATCATTGGCCAACTAATAGATATAGAAAAAATGAGCCGGCATGGTGGCGCATGCCTGTAGTCAGCTACTCAGGAGGCTGAGGCAGAAGGATCAGCTTGAGCCCAGGAGTTGAGGTTGCTGTGAACTAGGCTGATGCCACGGCACTCTAATACAGGCAGAGTATGACTCTGTCTCAATAAAATAAAATAATAAAAAAAATAAAATAAAATAAACAGCTTACAAACAGAAGAATGATCCTATTTAAGGGATAGGTAGATGAGCCCATGATACGAGTAAAAACCAACCAAATCAATATATTAAGGTAACTTATCTTCTGTATTAATTATAGTGGTTGTGGGTGATTTTTCTTCTTTTCCTTTTTTATCTCTATTTTCAATTTTTTTCGATAGGGAACATTTTTATATTGTAATTTAAATTAATGTTAAGAAATGCCTCCACCTCAGCCACACACAAGAGGGCAGGAGTCCTTGTGGAGTCTGATGGCCCTCTGCACATACCACTGCCATCCCCACCAGGCACAGCCACAGGGAAGGTTCGCCCTCACTTCGGGGAGGCGGTTCCAATCCAAGCAGACGGGATTACACAGGCTGAGGGTCTGGGCATTTTCATCCCACCTGCATCAAAGCTGTGGAGAGCCTCATGCAACTCGAATGCGGATGAAACAAACTCAAGCCGGCCTGGGCACCAGGAGGGAAAGGGGAGGAGGGCCTGCGCTCAGCCGGATTACTAGCACAGGTATATTTGACAAATACTTTTGAATGAGTAAATGAATTTACAATCATTTGGGAACAGCTTTGAACCAAGATTCCTAGGTATGCTCTGGCCTCCCTGGACTCATGCTAGGTCCCTAGCCATGGGGGAGAGTGTACGTCACCTAAGGAGGGAAGGAACATATAGCATGGGTAACTGGCTACAAGCACTGACTTTTTTTTTTTATTTTTTGAGACAGAAGTCTCACTTTGTTGTCCAGGGCGTAGGAATGAGTGCGCGTGGTGTCCAAGCCTAGACTCACAGCACACTCAAACTCCTGGGCTCAAGCGATTCTATCTGGCTCGAGCCTTCTGAGTAGCGGGACTACAGCATGCACCACGCATGCCGAACTAATTTTTTCTATGATGTATTAGTTGGCCAATGGGAATTGTCTTGTCTATTTATAGTAGAGACAGGGTCTTGCTCTTGCTCAGGCTGGTTTCGAACTCCTGACCTCGAGCAATCTGCCACCTGGCCTCCCAGAAGTGGATTCACAGCGTGAGCCACTGCACCCGGCCTAAGCACTAACTTTTAACACTTGAGACACATATCCAGGTCTAATCACCGCTTCCCATCTACCACCTAGGTGAACTTAGGCACATGACTTGACTCAAACTGTCTGAGCTGCACCTACAAAATGGAAATAACAATACCTACTTTGGGGATTATAAATGAGATAAACGATGTGCAGCATTTAGCACAGAGCCTAGCCCATTAGCATTTGTAGGTGTAGCATTATTGTTACCAGTGTGTACAAGTATTGCCATATGTATAGCAATGAGTACAGTTTCCTCTGGTAAAGGTGAGAGATCATTTGGGGCAACTTAGGGGCTTGAGGAGTAGGGTACTAAAGACCTACTTAACCGATGTTTTCAAACCACATTCATTAACCAAACTGTCAGGCAGCTTAAGTCCTGGGAACAATTCTACACTAGACACCCACTGGCAGATCACATGACAACATCTAAGATACTTCACTGAACGTGCTGTTGATTAGAGGTTTATCTCCAAGCTACTCTCTTCAGAGAGTAGAACAATTTCATTAGATTCCTCTCACCAGAGGCTCTTCACACCCGCTTTCAGGATCTGTGGGTGAAGGGCAAGACCTGGAGCTTAGGCCTGAAACAAGGATACCTACTTTGGGGAAGAATTGAAAGGTCCTGCCCTTGTTTCTTCTCTGCAGCACAAAACCCTGCAAGGGCCTTGTCCTTCCCTCCCTCCCATTTCTGTCACTAGGAGCAGACCCTCCATTAGGCAGCTGTGCTTTCCCTTCCCATTAACAACGTGCCTGGATACTTGACGCAACTCTGTCCAAATCATCACCCGCAGAAACCCTCAGAGTACGTCATAATAAAACCTGGGGAATTTCAGGGTCCAACTAGGAAAAGAAACCTAGCAGGAATACTGGAACTACAAAACAATCACATTACTGAGAAGTCACACTGTCCCATGAAGAAAGATAAGAGAAAGTTCAATGTGACAAGTGGCTGGCTGTCCCCCAAATCTAGTCCCCCCTTCTCCCATGGTAAGAGTTTTAGCTGGGCACACAGTTGTCCAGCCAGGGCCTACGTTGTCTGCCTCCCTTGGAGCCAGAAGTACTCGCGTAACCAAGTGCAGGCAATGGGGTTTGTGCAGAGGGAGATGTGCACAACTTCAGGTTTGTCTCCAAATTGAAGATAAACTGCTTGCCACGGATAAGCTGTCTTTCCCCCTTTTTGAAGACTATAACACTGAAGTAACGGTAACTCAAATGTAATCCTTCAGACAAGGACAGTGCACTGAGGGTGGCCGAAAGCACCTGGGTTCCTGAATGATGTCATGGGGCAACGCTGCCCTGCCAGCCCGGACTGTCTGAACTACTCTTTGAAAGAGACATACACTTCTGTCTCATTTAAGCCTCCATATCTGTAGGTCTCTTTGTAATAGCAGCTTAGCTACATTAATATATTGATTAATCTCATTAGCATATGGTTATGTAATGAAAGTGTTCGGCTGAAACATCAAACTGCTGTTTTTATAGATCAAAAACAGTTGAATATCAGTATATGAATATAGCTCAACCTAATGGGATTGGGTTATATATATCAAGGAAAGCAAAATTCATTTCTTCTCATTAGCTATTTCGCCTTGTAATTAATGTGTGGTAAAATAAGATTCAATACACAGAAGCTACAAACAATCACTGAAAGAAATTGAATGACATCTAAATATATGGGAAAGATGTCCCATATTCATGGATTGGAAGATTTATTATTATCAATCTGTCAATAGCCTGGAAAGTAACTACAGATTTTATGTAATTCCTATCAAAAATCACAACTATTTTGCAGAAATTAACAAAATTATCCTCAGATTCACAAGGAAATGCAAGGGACTCACAATGGCCAAAATAATCTTCAAAAAGAAGAACAAAATTGGGGAACTCATACTTCCTAATGTCAAAACTCACAACAAAGCTATACTAATCAAGAGTGGTGCTGACATAAAGACAGACATATAGATTAATGGAGCAAAACTGAGAATCCAGAAATAAACCTTTACATTGCTGGTAAATTCACTTTTGGCAATGGTGACAAGACAAATGTAATGGGAAAAATTAGTCTTTTCAATAAATGGTTCTGAGATAACTGGTGGCCACATGAAAAAGAATAAAGTTGGACCCCTACCTCACACCATATACAAAAATTAAGCTGAAATGGATCAGAGACCTAAATGTAATAGCTAAGATTATAAAACTCTTTAAGAAAATGTAGGTATAAATCTTCATGACCTTGAATTAGGCAATGGTTTTTTAGATATGACCAAGAAAGCACAATCCACAAAAGAAAAAATAGATAAATTGGACTTCATCAAAATTAAAATCATTTGTGTTTCAAAGAACACCATCAAGAATGTGAAAAAACAATCTATAGAAAGGAAAAAATATTTTCAAATTACATATATCTGATAAGCAACTTGTATCCAAAACACATAAAGAATTCTTTCAACTCAGCAATAAAAATAAAAAGTTTTTACCCTGTTTTTAATTGGCAAAGAATCTAAATAGATATTTCTCTAGAGAAGATATACAAATAGCCAATAAGCACACGAAAAGACACTCAACATCATTAGTCATTTAGGAAAGTGCAAATGAAAACCACAATGAGATACCACTTCACACCTGCTAGGATGGCTATAATTTAAAAAAGAAAAAAAAGACAAAACGTATAATAACAAGTATTGAAAGGATGTGAAGCAATTGAAACCCTCATACATTGCTAATGGGAATGTAAAATGTCGTAACCATAATGAGAAAGTTTGGTGGTTCCTCAAAAAGTTCAACATAGAATTACCATGTGACTCAGCAATCCCACTCCCAGGTATGGACCCAAGAGAGCTAAAAACACCTCTTTACACAAATGCTTGTACACAAATGTCCACAGCAGCATTACTCAAAATAGCCAAAAAGTGAAAGCAACCCAAATGTTCATCAATGGATGAATGGATAAATAAATGTGATCTATCCATACAATGGACTATTAAGCCATAAAAAGAAATGAAGTTCTGATATAAGCTACAACATGAATGAACCTTGAAAACATTATGCTAAATGAAAAGAAGCCACTCACAAAAGACTGCATATTATACAATTCCATTTATGTAAAATGTCCAGAATAGGTAGATCCATAGAGATAGAAAATAAATTATTGTTTGTGAGGGAATATGGGGAGGAGGAGTTAGGGAATGACTGCCAATAGGCATGAGGTTTCCTTTCTGGGTGATAAAACTATTCTGGAAGTAGACAGTGATTGTAGTAGGTTGAATGGTGGCCCTAAAAACATATGTCCATGCCCTAATTCCCAGAATCCTTATTGGGAATAGAATTTTCCCTAGGGTCTCTGGGGGGTGTGGCCTTGCTGACACTAATTTCAGATTTTCAGCCTCCAGAACTGTGAAAGAATACATTTCTGTTGTAATTTGTTATAACAGCCTTAGAAAACTATCAATAATAATAATGGCAATCAATGAACAACTCTGTAAATATACTAAAACCATTGATTTATATACTTTAAAGTAAATAAAGGGTAAACTTTATAGTATGTGAATAATATCTCCATAAAGTTATTTTTTTTAAAAAATGTGTATATACACCCATACCTACATACAGTTCACTTTACAACACATCAGGAAGCAATAACTTCATAGGCTGATGCACAGTGATAACCTACAGCCCTTTCTTTTGTATACCGAAGTGGTTACTGACCCACAGCCATGAGGATGCATACTCTATAGTCACTCATTGCCCCTCAGTGGGGACAAGATTTTTATGATCCCTGTCCTTGTGACCTCTTGGGCTGACACTTACTAGGAAGACAGCTGGTCATTTCTAATCTGTGGCTCTGCAGTTCTTGGTGCCCGCTTAGGACCCATCTTTTCCCACTTCTAGACCAGCATCTAACAGAGCCTTGATTAAAAGATTAACTGGATAACTGGAAAGGATAGTTTCTGGGCCACCAAGAAGGAAGAGACAGCCAAGAATACACCTTGGCTCAGGAACTTACAGTGAGGACATTGGGTCAACCTCCTTCCCGCGTCAGCAGTCACAGCCACTAAAGCCCAGCACTGTCGCCGAGCAAGCCAGGCTGATGCTGGGGAAGGTGCCCTTGCCACCCTACAGGTCAGAGACGGAAGTACAGGTTGCCCCCACAATCTGCCAGCCTTTCCTAGGGAGCAGTCACTGACACGAAGGGACCTGCACAGAGGCAGTACTTGCCATGGCGCTACAGGGATTTTTTAGTAGATGAAACTATCCCCTGGTAATGTGGAAATTAGCATAGATTGCTCTGAGGGGGTCACTGAGACCTACTTGGGGTGTCTTGGAACCTCAATTCTCCAAGTCCCGAAGCATGTGTGCAGCCAAGAGAGACCTGGGGAACACTGACCCTGCCCCTCCGGACCTTACCTCCACACGTCGCTGCCTTTGGAAAACATGGAGGCACGAATGACCTCAGGCGCCATCCAAGCATACGTCCCCGCCGCACTCATCTTGGTGGTTCGGTGCCACTCCCGAGCCAGGCCGAAATCAGTGATCTTCAGAATCTTGTTGCTCAGGTCTCCATTCTCCACCTTCTGGAGGATCAATACTGGGCAAGGAAAGGAAAATACAGAAGATACCAGAGTCTGCATTAATCACAGGGAAACCACTGAATACAGAACCCTCCTGCCATCTTCCTGGCTTCTCCTGTACGCTCCGGTGTTCAGCTGCCATGGACTGACAGCAGCAGCCATCATTTCTTACATATCTACAACGCACCCATCTTTGCGCTGCGTACTTTTATAGATAGTGTGTGGACGGTTGGCACGAACCTGTCCAGGTTACTTTACCTAAACTCTTACGGAAGCATGTCTTTTTGGCAACGAGATTTCCACTTAATTCAGGAACTCACCCCACCTATAAAAACTGGCAGACAAGCTCACACCTATGATGTTCTCTCTGAACATGCCCCAGGAGGAAGAAACCAGAGTACTGAAGTAGTGACGCAGTGGCCCTGTCTCCCAAGTTCTCACTCAAAGCACTGCAGTGTGGGAGCCACCCTGGCTCCTCTCCGGCAGCAGCTAAGGCAGTCACCTCACCTCTATGGTGGCCCCAGAGATAACTGTGCCCTTGTGAGAACCAATCTTGCTAAACAGAGCAAAAATACTGACCGACTAATGTGCTATAAGCGAAGCCAAGGAACTCTGCCTGAGGGGGCAGCTAAGGAGCTGGATATGTAGAAGCTGTTTTCACAAGCAGGATAGTTCCAAAGGCCCTGTGCAAGCACAACCTCTTGTGGGCCAGACACTGAGTCACTTGGAATTCAGAGCTTTGAACACAGGATTTCAGAGAAGACAGATTCCTTCCTCCTCCCTTTCAAGTCCCACTGGGGAGTGTAGGCAAAGGAATCTCTAAAGACAGAATGACAACAGAAAAAAACGATGACTCGGTTCCAGCGAACAGTGAAAAGGTGTAGGTTGGTTCCCAGCCTGGTGTGCGCTGGGGTACCCCACAGCATCAGAAGGCTCTCCTGAGAGCTCAAACTCTCCCAGTAGCTAAAGAAAGGAATCTCTGATGGCGGTACTTTGGGTACCAAGAGGGTCTTCCTTTCGGGAGGTGGACATTTTAGGGCAGGGGACTTAGGCAGGTCCTTCGATTCACACAGCTATACTTTTTTGCCTGCCCCCCACAAACGTCCACTGAATTGTTATGTAACGAAAGGACATGAGCCAAAGATCTCTATGTCCCGTGTGCTTTTCAGAAAGCCAGCAATAAAGAGGGATTATTAGTAGCATAGAGCTGCAGGCACAAAAGAAACCAGCGCCAGCCACTCCCTACATCTGATGGACCAGGCCTCCTTGCTCCACACCCTCTCCCCACCCGCCTCCTTCCCAAGCAGGCACAGGCCTCTGGATCCTGAATGCTGGGACAGATTTAAAAAAAAAAACACAAAAAAAATACCTCTCCATCTCATTTATTAACAGAAAACTTCCCAGACTCTTCTGTGCCTCTCTGCCCCTCTTCTCTGGCAGAGACAACAGACCAATAGGCATTCAAATTGCTGGGCAAGTGACGCTAAAGAAACTTCCCTCTATCACGGCGGCCGCCAGCTTCTGACCATTTCTCTCAGTGGCTCATAAACAGAAGATCCAGAGTGAGTCTTTCCCCTCACATGCTCAGTGGGGTTCAGTCCTGTCACCCCAAACCCCCAAGTGGCTGGGACAGGGTGCCATGGAGAGGAGGATAAAGTTTCATAGTAATGGTCTGTTGGATGGCTTGAAGGGATGGCAGAAGGATGGGGACAGGGTAAGCATCAGCACAGGGACAGGCTGCCTGAATGTGAATCCCTTTAGATGCACGGGGACAGCCCAGTTCCACCGAATCCCCACCACTCCCTGCCACCTAACACCCAGCTGGCCTCAAACATTTACCCAAACAGGCCCGGAAGACATCTGACTGAAGAATGCCTGGCTGGGGGTCCCCTCCTCAAAGAGGACAGGCTGTAATCAGACACCACCTACCCATCCTGGCAGGTGGCCCCAGCCAGTGATCTGTAATAATAGTGTTCTGAAATACTGGTATCTACCAAGCATCTATTACTACTAATAATTAAAGCACCAAAGTTTGTGAATGCTTTACTTTCTCATTTCTTTTTAAGAGAGACAAGGTCTCACTATGTTGCCCAGGCTGGTCTAGAACTCCTGGGCTCAAGTGATCTTCCTGACTCAGCCTTCTGAGTAGCTTGGTTTACAGGTGTGGGCCACGCCCAGTACTTTAGTCTTTTTTTTTTTTTCTTGGTAGACTTTTTTTTATTAAGATGAAATCACATAATATAAAATTAACCATTTTACAGTGAACAATTCAGTGGTCTTTAGTACATTCACAATGTTGTACAACCACCACCACTATCTAGTTCCAAAATATTTCAACACCCCAAAAGGAAATCTTATATCCATTAAGCAATCATTTCCCATTCTTCCTCCTTCCAACCCCTAGCAACCACCAATCTGCTTTGTCTTTATGGATTTACCTATTCTGAGTATTTCGTATAAATGGAATATGTGACACATCCAGCTTATTTCACCTAACATAATGTTTTCAAGCCTCATCCACATTATAGCTTATATCAGCACTTTATTCCTTTTTATGGCTGAATAATATCCCATTGTATGCACATACTACAAGGTGTTTAGCCATTTGTCCATCGACAGGCATTTGGGTTGTTTTTACTCTTTGGCTACTGTGAAGAGTCCTACTGTGAACATGTATGGACATATATTTGTATACCTGTTTTCAATTTGGGGGACATATACCTAGGAGAGGATTTGCTGGGTCACATGGTTATTCTATGTTTAACTTTTTGAGGAACCACCAAACTGTTCTCTACAGCAACTGAAGCATTTTACATTTCTACCAACAGAGTATGAGCGTTCCAATTTCTTTGCATCCTCACTAACACTTATCTTCCTTTTTATTTATAGTATTATTAGTGCCAACCTAATGCATGGGAAGTGGTATCTCACTGTGGTTTGGGTTTGCATTTCCCTAAAGAATAATGATGTTCAACATCTTCTCATGTGCTTATTGACCACTTACGTATCTTCTCTGGAGAGATGATACATATTCATTTATTCATCTATTCAATCCTTTGCCCATTTTTAAGTGGATGGCTTATCTTTTTATTGTTGAGTTATAAAAACTCTTTATATATTCTGGATGCTAGTCCCGTATCAAATATATGATTTACAAATATTTTTTTTCCATTCTGTAGGCTGTCTTTTTACTTATTTGATAATCTCTTTAGATGCATAAAAGTTTTTAATTTAAATGAAGTCCACTTTATCTTTTGCCTATTATTGCTCATGTTTTGGTGTACTAAGAATCCATTGCCAAATCCAAAGTCATGAAGATTTATCTTTATGTTTTCTTCCAAGAATTTTATAGTTTCAGCTCTTGCATTTAGGTTATTAATAAGTTTGGTTATTAATATTAAAATAACCAATTTTAACTTTTGTACACAATATAAGATAGGGGTCCAACTTCATTCTTTCGCATGTGGCTCTCTAGTTATCCAAACACAATTTGTTGAGGAAGAAAGCTTTAAAACACAAAGAGAGCGCAGTGCAGTTCTCTCTCAACATGCTTTCCTGAGTGGGAAAGGTTATACTCACAGCAGCTTACGTTATTTCTCTCACTGCATTAAGCTCACTGTAATCTCCTACCACTGATAAACAGCTGTGGCGATAAATGATTGTGCTTTCACATCTTGGAAAGCTTATGAATGTTTTATCAAAATACAGTGAAGTCCATGACGGTGCACTGAATTAACCTTACCTCTGATGTGTAGGGCAATGGAGAAAACAGTCACGTGCTGCATGATGACATTTCAGTCAACAATGGGCTGCACATATGATGGTGATGCTGGTGTACACAAACCTACTGTGTTGCCAGTTGTATAAAAGTACAGCACATACAATTATGTATAGTACATAATACTCGATAATGATAATAAACGACTATGTTACTGGTTTATGTTTATACTATACTATACTTTTTATCTCAATTTTAGAGTACACTCCTACTTGTTAAAAAAAAAAAAACTGACTGTAAAACAGCCTCAGGCAGGTCCTTCAGGAGGTATTGCAGAAGAAGGCATTGTTACCATAGGAGATGACTGCTCCATGCGTGTTACTGTCCTTGAAGACCTTCCAGTGGGACAAGATGTGGAGGTGGAAGACAGTGATATTGATGATCCTGACCCTGTGTAAGCCTAGGCTAATGTGTGTGTTTGTGTCTTAGTTTTCAACAAAAAAGTTTCAAACACACAAAAAAGAAAAAAAAAATTCTAAAAACAAAAAAAAGCTTATGGATATAAAGAAAAAAATATTTTTGTATAGCTGTACAATGTGTTTGTATTTTAAGCTAAGTTATTACAAAGAGTCAAGAAGTTAAAAAAATTTTAAAGTTTATAAAGTAAAAAGGTTACAGTAAGCTAAAATTATTTTATTACTGAAGAAAGAAAACTTTTTTAGTAAGTTGAGTGTAGCTTAAGTATACAGTGTTTATAAATTCTATAGCAGTGTATAGTAATGTCTCAGGCCTTCACATTCACTCACCACTCACTCACTGACTCACCCAGAGCAACTTCCAGTCCTGTAAGCTCCATTCATGGTAAGTGCCTTATGCAGCAGGTATACCATTTTTATCTTTTATATCATATTTTGACTGCATCTTTTCTATGTTTAGATATACAAATATTTGCCATTATATTACAACTGCCTGCAGTATTCAGTACAGTAACTACAGTACAGGTTTGCAGCCCAACAGCAATAGGCTATACCATGTAGCCTAGGTGTGTGGTAGGCCATACTAGGCTATACCATCTAGGATTGTGTAAGTACATTCTATGGAACAAGAAAAAAGAGAAAATGAATTAATCCCAAACTTGATCCTTTCTTTGTGATCCCGGACAAATTTCTTAAATTCTGTACTTCAATTACTGTTTCCACAAAATGAGAATAAAGATGAAAAGTAATGCAGTAATAAAACATCTAGCAGAGTGCATGGTACATAAATAGGTACTCAGAACACCATAGCTATTATTATTAT